AGTTGAAAAACAAATCAGCATTTGCAGTAAATTTTCAAATAAAGGAATTAATGTGAGAACGCATTACTAGTGTTGACTGAAGAATTGAATCGTTTCTTTACTAAAGTAACTATGAATTACTCTACACGATCGTGACAAAAAATACTATTCACTTTTTTAACACTAGTGTTTGTAGAAACACTAGTAACAAAAGTATGCAAAATTAATGGAATTTGCATATTTAATCAGTTAACACAATGTCCATGATTTTTATCAACAATTCCCGATCAGGACGAATGGCTGTATTGCATGCGATATTTTCTTTTCTGTTGGTTTCCATGTTAAATCACCAGAAATTGGACATTTTAAGGTGGTATGCAAACGCCACCGCCCTTTGTTGGCAAAAGTAAGGTTGCGTGTTTTTTGTTCGTTCTATTATTATTCGGTTAAAGAGTGCGAATTGAATTACGTAGCCACGATTTTTTTAGCTGCATTTTAATTAGTTTTTATTCAAATATTCAATGAGGGTTGAGAATAATTAAGCAAAAATTACATTGTTTCTTGCTAGTAGTTATTAAGTGTGGGTTAGTCGGGGATTCGTGAGTTGAGATCATGTGAGTAATTGATTATATTACTCAATAAAGTTTATTTAGTCAAAAACTCTAATCAGTTAAAAAAAGTTTACGTGTCTCAAACTAAAAGCTGAATGTATTATCGAGCAAATGCATTATTGATTGATCGAAGATTAGAATGAGAATAAAAGGTTATTAATAAGTGAGCGATTTTTTTACGACCGACGAAGAACCTTGATTTGCAAAACTTTTAGTTTTGCTAATTTGAATTACTTCAGTTTCAAATTTTAACCGTTTTGCAATTAGTGTAATTTCAATTTTATGGAAACATCACCTATTTTACAAGCTTGGTGTATTTGTCGTCTTGTTAACAACCAAACTAAATTTGCTCTATTTTATAATCTGAGCTTGTTTCAGTGAGCCAAATACACAATTCCCATGCTCTAAAACCCCATTTCAGTTGGCCAAACTTTATAATGTACCTCTGACCTATAAAATGTAGTCATCGACCGTCTGCAATAAATCAATGGGCCATAAATCCCAAAGTAAACAAACCGAGACAAGAGGAAATTAAAACAAATTTCAATTGAAACGTGATTAGTTTCATGGCGGCAAACCGATTATCCTGGTTATGTTATTCAACTAGGATTTACTAGAGAAAATAGAAACGTTTCAACAAAAATACTTTGATTGTCTTTTATCTTCCTGTAGTATTTTTTCAGATGATAAAAAGTTAAAAACATACACGAATTACTCCAATTATAATAAAAAACACTGACATTATTAAGAAACAGAAACTTTTTTTATGTTCTGATATTAGAATAATGTTGTTTGCTTGGGACTTTCGTATAAAAAACAACGGTAAAATACAGTGGACAATACATTAGCTTCTCTCTTTAATAAGTAAGTTTATTTATGCTGTATGTAATCCTATTTCTACCCATTTGGGAAATATAAATTTTGATGTTTGACCTCTATTATCAAACATCAACCGACATGCCTATTTCAAATTGCTCTTCGTTCTATAAATTATTCCGGTCTAAATGAGTTTGCCCATTAAACCGATTAAATACGTAATCAGTCTAAGTTGCATGAGTGCGATTTAGTTTTAAGTTTTCAAAACAACACGTATCAATCTACGATAAACATAAAAGCTTTCTTCAATTAGCCTCCACAAGATACGCTGACAAATAGAATTATCTCGGCTTATTCTTTTACGCCAATAAATAATATAATTTTTACAATAGCCATGTTGAAATAGAAACCAAGGTGCATTTTATTGCAATACAGAGTGATTGAACAATTAAACAAGAAAGATTTTGGGATTAATTTTTGTTTGTAAAGTTTTGCTTCTAATTGTATTTTCTGTTTTGAAGAATATTGTAAAATTGAATTTGTTACTTAGTCGTTTAATGTTATCTGAAAGACTCGGAATAAATGGAATTTTTCAATTTTTTTGATGCCTTTATTGAGTAATTTGAGGTATTATTGAAATTTCATTTTATGAGTAGGTTTTCTATATACCCAAATTTAATAATAGAATAGAGTTAATCACGTTTTACTCCCCATGACTATGAATTGAAAATGTGCCATTAATATATAGCCCACACGTCCACACATTTCTTAAAAAGGTGGTGTGGGCGCCGCTAATTTCAAAAGTTTATTGACAAAAATAATCATAATTTGAAATTCATCGGATTTTACACATACCCTTAAAAGTTCAATAATAGTCTGAATACTTTATTGCGTGTGTTCCTTAACAAACTTTTATCAACCGGTACTCCAATTAATTGAAGAACAATTTCAAAACTTACAAATTAGCTAAATACTCAACAAAAAAAACATTTTAAAAGCATGTTCCGAATAGAAGCAAAACCCCCAACTTTCAAACGTAAAAAAGTACACAAAAACCCATAAGTATTTCGTGCAGTTTATGTAGGTGCGCATATTAGTAATATTTTATTACATATTCATTGGCAACTACCATAAATTTTCAAAAAAACTGCTAATTGCGTGGTAATCTACAATTACAACATTTTATTTTTTTATATAATATATAATTTTTACCGCAAATTAATTAAAATAGGAACTGCTAAACCTGCAAAGCCATACAGGTTTTCAAGTGAGCACGGAATTTCGTGAAAGCAAGTAAATAGAAATGATGGGCTCTGACGGTATATGTATAATAAAAAAAAACACTTTTGCTTTAAGCGTTGATTTTTGCGCTAGCATCTTGTAAAGAACAAGCTGAACAAGGTGTAAAAATTACCGAAATAAAAAATGTTATCATCAAGACACATGAAGTTCGGATACTTAGGTAATATATGCAAATGTTGAAAGTTTGGCTGAAATTCCTATAGGAAACAAATATTTTCAATTGGTTTGTGAGCATCGACCGGACGGTTTTTACGAGTATTAAACTGAAAATGACGAGGTTTAAACTACTCACAGATACTCAAACAGTGAATTACACTTCAAGCAAATATTGAATGTCTATGAACATTTCTATTTAGTCAACTAAGTTCAATGTTTCAAAAGACTTTAAGTGGAAAACGTTAATGTGAAAAGTCCCGAAATTGTCACAGTAAATAAAAGGAAGTCGTCCTCACAAGTTGACGATCTTGTAAGGAAGGAAATTGCAGTAGCTCATACCAGACTTGTGAAGTTTATGAATGATAAAATTGGGACGCACTTTTGTTAGAAATATTCATTGGGACATGCGGTAAAGTTTATGTAAAGTAGATTGAGACAGTTTGATTTTCAACAACATGTTGATTTTGCATGGGCGTATCGCAAGTAGAATTAATTATTTAAGCTATTAATTAATTAAGCTATTAAATAAATGTAAAAAAGCTCGGCAGGCTTTGGATTAAAAATTATCGGTTCACCATCAGTAGTGCAATATGACCGAAAAAGCATTTAGACATCTGATTGTAAACTGAAAAGCAGCATCATATTTCGAGACAGCATTCAAGCATCCAATTGAATATAAAAAATTAATATTAAATGTACTTCTGGTAAAATTAATTGAAACAAGATAACAGGTTAACAATCCTGACATGTTTGTATTGCGTAAAGAGCGGAAGTAAAATTAAAATATTTAGAAATAACACTGCAAATAAAAAAAAGATTTTTTCGGATGAAAAAGTTCCGATTTCTCATCAACCGTCGAAAATAACCAAAACGATCTCGATATCTGATATCTAATACTAAGACAGCAAAATCCCCAGTAAATTTATTTAGACTTGAACATAAACAAAAATTAAAGCGAGAAAAGTCGAACGGAAATTGAGCTGAGGGCAAGCAAATGAACTTCAAATGTTTCGAATCAGCATGTTCAATAGCAATGAGTAGAACATTTTATTAAGAGAATTATTCGTAATCCAATTTTTACCTCGTCTCAATAGATTTTAAATATTCTTTGCCTAAACAGAAGCATTGAAGATGTAATGGTTAATTCATACAGGGCTTCAAATTCTTAGATACACTTATCTTTGTATGAATTGTTTATAGCAACTGTTTTGATTAATTGCAATAATTGGGTTAGCAAATAAGATTTTTAATATGTATATGGCTACTAAGTATTATTGTGGTATCATTACGCTGTTTTCTTAATGTAGTATTTAATTAATTAATTTTCCAGTTGTTATTAGATAATCTTATGAAACCTAACCAGCAGCTAATTAATAAGAGGTGTAAAACGCAACATTTAATATAAACCATTTGAACTTAAGCATATTTGACCTTTTGATTAGTTTCAATAATGTAGTTGCAGAATAAGTGTAACTGTAAATTGGAAAAAACACTGCATAACAGTACATGTATGGTGATAAATGCGGACAATTTTTTACAATGGAAACTATTATTGCAACGCTTGAGTAATAATACATTAGCAATGTATTATAGAACATTTCATTTTGATAAACATACGTATGAATGCTTGAGTGTGTTACAACATGTCTGTTTGGATAATAAATATTTTTAAATCATCCGAATCCAAATAATAGTCGTTGCGGATGAACAGACTCTCAGCTGAAGCCTCCTCTAAATTAACCCAAATAATGTATTTGATAGAAAAGGTATTTAAATTTGAAACCGCCAACTTTTGCTGTTTAACTTCTCCTGCTGGGTACATAAAAATATATTAAAACACCTGTAGACTTGCCTACAATAATATTTTAATTTTTTTCTCTATTTGGTGTTTCAAACTGAATTAAAATTTAAAACTACGAGTAGATTGAAATACTATAAATAAGTTTTTTCTATGAAACATCTACACCCTACAAACACGAAAATAGCTGTTATCCATCCTTGACCTACGTAGATCCGGAGGCAAATAAATAAGTAAATAAACTGATTAAACAGTTGCTTTGGATTGGTCAAATCGTAAGTTGACCCCCATCGCCCACTTTCAACAAAACAAAAACATCATAACATCAAAGATCGCTGAAATTCTTCGCCAGATACCCGGTATTATCTCCCATTTGTCACACGTTAAGATATTCGATTAATTATTTTTAACAGTCGGTTGTTTATTATTAGTATGAGAATTATGGTTGGCGATAGAAGGCGTATGAGTGTTTTCAACAAATTTTACTGTATTTTCAGTTGTCGATAGACTAGCACTTGGTCCGGGAGAAGACGGTTATTAGTGAGTGTTAAACATTAGCGAATTGAACGTTAGTTGTTCTTATTGAAATGGAAGCGAGCACCGAGTTGATTTGTAAGTAATCCCGGATAAAACAGTTTGTTTTCGATATTAGTTGAAGTGGAATTAGCGAATTTGACTAGTCAATAATGCAGGTTTGAAACTCAATAATCAGTTGTACAACACGTTTTGTTCTACTTCGCGTTTTCATTATAGATTCACTATAAAATCGATTCCTCGTATTTCCTTCAACAATTACTACTGGTGCTATGGAAATTATTAATTGAACAAACTTTTGAGCTTATTCAGTTCCGCACTAGGATTGGGATATAATTTTATGATTATCTGGATTACCTTTACATTAAATCAATATTGTTTAAATTTACCTGGGCATATATTTGATTAGAAATACCCGTAAATCAACCAAACAATAGAATATTTTCAAATAATCCTTAAATGAATTTTTTATAGTCATATACAGATTAACACTATACTTTTCATAACAATTTAATCGTTTTACCTAAATTGAATCTCAGAACTGGTGTTTTGGAAACGACATACATTATTCTACTACAAGTAATCATAGCTTTCATTTCAATATTTGTCTATATAATCAACAATAAAATTTCAATTTCATTCAGCAAATACAATTTTATGAAAAGTCCACCCAGAAAATATCTTATTTCGTTTTCTGTATTCTCAGTTGTGCCAGTCCCGCTGGAAAATTCTTTGTTTTGCAGTTCAGCAGGTGTAAAACACTATGCTTTATTCTTTTGTGCTCTTTGCAATACGGTGTGCGCTGTGCAGCCTTCTAAGAAACCGATTGCTTTTCTCGCCCATGTACAATTCAATCATCTTATTGGGAAAGAGCACAAGTAAAATAAATGTTAATAACTTTCCATTGTGTGAGGGTATTTCCAAAGTCCCACCAGCTTTAACACTGTCCAAAGGTAAGAACTAATTGCATGCGTAAAATGTAGGTACACACTTAATTAATTTGAATATTCGATATAAATAGCAATATCTAAGACAAACTAATACATCACTTTACACTTTAAAAAACTTTGAAGGCTAGCGCATACAAGTTTTATACGCATTAACACGTTTATATCTCGTAAATTATTAATCTTTTTAGCTATTAACTAAGTAGATAGATATGAGGAGGACAGGTTTAAAAAAATGGAGCAATTTGAAACATATTGTTTTTTAATATATAAATATGTTTGTATGGAAACTAAACGAAAACAAAGACTGCAAATTGAATGTTATTTAAGGAATAATAATCTATGACGGATACGAACCACGGTCATCTTATTTCCTGATTACATTAATTAATGTTCCCTAAATTATGATTTTGATTGTTAGAATTGTACATTCATTTTGCAATTAATCATGCACTCACAGAATTCGCCATATAATCAAGTTAATAAACAAATAATTGAAGGTACTAAAACTACCAACCCGAAAGTAAGTAATGGATTATCAATTTCAGAGTACAAGGAAGTTGATAACAGCAAAATGATCTATTTTAAAAACAGTTTAGTGATAAATATTTTCAATAATATTGTGAATTTGCGGCACATTTTAGAGATTGGATTACTTGTCCGAGAAAAGAAAACAAGCGCACAAAGAGATCAAGGGGTCAGAAAAACGAAGGAGTGTGTTTTAAACAATAATACATGTATCGAAGTAGTTTATTTAAAATTATCTTCAGCTTCTCGTAATCTTCTTTTGTGTCTTGTGTCTTCACCAATATAATTGTTAATTTTAAAAGACAAATGTATCAGAAATACAGAAAAACAGTTCTTTCTTTGATAATATATAATTGATGTTGAGCGTTACATAATATAGAATAAACAAAATAATAATAGTTGTATTCTATAATTGATGCTAGATTTAGCAGTGGTAAATTGCTTGCTTTATATTATACGTCTTCAGTAAACTCAAATTTTATTTTTTATTTAAATCTTTTAATATTTAATACTGTTAATAAAACTGGGTTCGTCTAATAATACAATAGTTAAAATAAAGCACAAGTTAATCAGATAAAGATCTTATGGAACTACTTGTTGTAGTTTATATTGTTTATTTTATTTGGGACTGTTTTCAAATGATTCAATTGCAACTTACCATTATTTTATACTTACGCTAAATGGAATTATTCTCGAAAATTTTTAGCTGCCTTTTTTATATCTTAGACGCCGAAATAGCTAATCAAATATAATAAACGATTGTCGCTTCATTGAATATTTTTTAGCCAGACCAGACCGGTGGTTTTTCAAATGCATCTAGCGAGAACCAGTTCTTTGATTAACCAGTTAATAACATTTAATTAAAAACGTATACCTAAAAATCTAGTTCCGACCTGTTAAATGCCAGTATTTACCAGCCTTTAAGCAAAGTATAATCTGAAAAATAATTATTAATTGAAAGAAAACTTTTATTTTAAGGAAATTCTACAATAAAAATAATGTGGTATGCTAAATCAACCCAACTAAGAAACTTCGTTGCTTTGAATATACAAGGTATTTACATTTTACTGCAACGTATTAAAGTGCCTGCAGGAAATAGAGAAATTATCAAGAACATTTCAATTTGATTTGATATGCTATGGTACATTTTTGTATACAATCGTATACTCAACCAAATGTACCTATACGATATGAAAAATCATACCCATACCAAAAAAATCGACTAAACAGTACCCAAGTACCAAACCACATGATTCTTACATTATTTCCGGCATTGGGTAACGTGTTAAAAATATTATAGTGAACTGAACATATTTTAAGAACTCATTGGAAAACATATTCCACCATACCAATTTAGCTTCAAAATAAAAGACTCTTTAAGTTTGGACATAACTTTAATAACATAATAATAAACAATTTTTTTATGTAATTCTTATACAAGGTGTCCCGCAACATGTGAAGATGCTCTCGGATTTGTACAGGGGACGTTAAAAAACGTGCATGAAATATTATAAGTTATTTAAAAAAAATCAGTTCTGAGGTTCATGTTAATCAGAAACTTGCTATGTTTTTTTTAACGTCCCCTGTACAAATCAAATCCGAGAGCATGCCCACATATTCCGGGAGACCCTGTATATATCAAAAGGACTATTATTTAAACTGCTTTCGTCAAAATACTTCCTAATCATTCTCAGAAACTTACTTCAAACCAGATTGCTAAACTATGGAATAGACTAACCAGTACCGAGGAAACTAAAAAATGCATACAGGAAACATTGCCTAAGACTGATTAAAAAACGCACTTTGGTTACTTAACTGAAACACTTTGAGGAATCCAGGAAAAGTGGAACATCCACACAAGTGGAGTAAACTAAACCATCGTTGCGTAAAAAGACTATTCCGATTCCGATTTCCTTGCTCTTCTCTTGTAGAATACTTCAGGATATAGAAATCGAAAATGAAAGTTGATTTGGCTTAATTTTGTTAATCGTAAATGTTCACTTAACTTACATGTACATGTGCTGAAAGACCGATTGGTCGTTGGAATTTTTCTGAAGAAGTAAAGATATACATTACTATGTGGTACTAATTTAATTCATTAATTATTACGTATATAATGTGATATTAAAAATCGTTTCATTTAATTTTTCTGTAAATATCTGCACTCGTTTTCGATATACGAACAAATTTCAATCACTTCAGCAAGGCCATTTTGGATTGTGGATGACAAAACATACTAAGATTCGGATGGATACGAAATCTAGTGTAAAAAGTCATTTTTTCAATAGTTATAATTATTATTCAACGACTTGTCTTTTTTTCATTCGAAAAGTCTATCGACCCCCAAGGGTCGATAACTTCGGTCTCAAGCTGGTCTGCAAGTTCTTTTCGTTCTCACACTGTTTGTGCTTTCCGAAACTGGAAAATCAAAATTAAATTGTTCAAGATGCAGGTCAATGTACCAGATAATATGCATATTGTACATTACAAAGGTCAAAGATTCCATGCATGGGCAACAGATAATATCAGAGGTTTTAATTGCAAGTAAACAAATCTGCTCAATTTGCACATTTCATCTTGTTCTTTTGATAAGCGTTGGTTATCAAACAACTCATTTGGATATAAAACTATGTTATACTTTCTTTTGTTTTGAAATTTAAAATCTCCTATTCTTAAATATAAGTAAAATTACGAACAACAGTTAAATTCGAATGGCAATAAAAGCACTAAAGCTTACACTTAAAGTGTAACCAAGTGATTGATTTATCCTGGATTGAATTGATTTTTTCAAGCATAAAAATAATTATCGGCCAAGAAGCCATTCAAGTTTATTTTCAGAGTTACCAAAATAACCCTTTTTACCTGCCGGCTATTTTTACATTACACTTTCGTACATGATACACAATTAATTTACAATTCCGCAGACGTTTCCTAAACAAATCGGTTCTTAAAACGAACGTTTCCATTAAACAAACGTTCATGAAAATTTGAACTTTGTATTTGCTAATTAACATGCATATAAATCGTCTAATTAAGTAATGATGTGCATAGCTGATGTTTATTCAGTTCTCGATTTAAGCATTCGAGGAGCTGAACTGTAACAGTATAAACTATTTTGCACACAAGAATAGCGAAGGTCAAAGAACACTTGCAATTGATATAAGGGACACTTTTGTATTTATTTGAAAGTAAAACTGTGATGTGGGAAGTGTTTTATGTGAACTTAATCAATTGATAGTTGTTCAAGAATAATTGTCGACCCCATTCAAATATTATTCCCAACAATTAACCGAAGCTAATGTTGACTTGTTATTTTATAATTTTTTGAGAACCGTGATAATTAGCAAATTGGTGGTAATTTGTAATAATTGTTAATACCCACAACAATTTAAGTTAACAGTCCTACGACTGGTTTGGATATTTTGAAAAAGAATATGCGATGTTGTTATGTGGTTGCTTTGTATAGTATAATTTTCATACAAGTCCACATTTTTACAAGCCAGATTTTACATCACTCTGATTATGCATAACAAAAGTGTTACACAACTACAGCCTAGATATAGTTAACACCCGATATGTACTTAAACAATTATGATTTTTCCATACTTGTAACATGCATGTTACGTAAATTAACGTTGTATTATTGTTGCAAAAATCTGAAAACTGTCTATAATTCTTGACTTAGTTGTTCGTTAGCAGCAATTTATCACTTGTGGCCAATGCCAATATAAATGTGCTGGAATTTAATAATAGCATAACATAGGCATTTAGCAGACAATCGCCGAACCGAAGAAAAGATTAATATGACGTAAATCTCCTCATGTGTCATTATCAATTGGGCATGTGGCTTTGAGTTTAGAAGATAATTATGTTCATTCGATTAGAATCAAGAAACCAATGATGCGAACGTTTATAATTGCCGAATTATAATTAAATAATAATATTTTCATCGATCAGTTATTTTCATTCTAATACAGAATTACCGGCTAGACATAATGGGAATAAGCCAGGGACGAATTCTCACTAACGCTCATTAGCGGAATTTACGTATTTCTAGAACATGAAAATGTATTCCTGAAGGTACATTTGATTAAACATTTTATATCATATTTTTGTCTTAAGAAGTGGAAAGACATGTCTACTTAGTCCACTTTTTTGAAGCTTTGACGAAAAAAGCGTCATCATTTTGAGCTAATTTCACAAGTTTACCACTTAAAACTAATAGTGATCTTGATATATTAATTTTTTGAGTACCATTTTGCATGAGATGCATTCTTTACTTGGGAGGTCCGGTATTTAGTGCTCTAACTAGTGTTGTGTTGTGTAACAAGTTGCGTACAAGTCTAAAAAAATTATAGGCTTATCTTGATTCCTTTTGCGAAATGTTAAAATTTTGCTTGTGGTGTGAAAACTGACATTATTTACTAACTTTTGTTCCACTTAGTGAAAGACGTTTTTAATGCTCTATCTGGCGGTAG